GGTACTCAGTTTACTTCTCAGTTCTGGAAGACTTTTCAGGGAGAGTTGGGTACACAGGTGGAGTTGAGCACAGTATTTCATCCTCAGACGGACGGACAGTCCGAGCGTACTATTCAGATATTGGAATATATGTTGCGTGCCTGTGTTATTGATTTTGGAGGTTCTTGGGATGGGTTTTTGCCGCTTGCATAGTTTGCCTACAACAACAGTTATCAATCAAGCATTCATATGGCTCCGTATGAGGCGTTGTATGGGAGGCGGTGTAGATCTCCTGTTGGTTGGTTCGAGCCCGGCGAGGCTAGGCTATTGGGGACAGAGATGGTTCAGGATGCCTTGGAGAAGGTGAAGCTGATTCAGGAGAGGCTTCGTACAGCTCAGTCGCGTCAGAAGAGTTATGCGGACCGGAAGGTTCGAGATGTGTCTTATATGGTTGGTGAGAAGGTCTTGCTGAAGGTTTCGCCCATGAAGGGTGTTATGCGGTTTGGAAAGAAAGGGAAGTTGAGTCCGCGGTTTGTTGGGCCTTTTGAGGTACTTAGGAGGATTGGGGAGGTGGCTTATGAGCTAGCCTTGCCACCCAGCTTGTCGGGCGTGCACCCGGTATTTCATGTATCTATGCTCCGGAAGTATGTTGGGGACCCGTCCCATGTATTGGACTTCAGCATGGTTCAGTTGGATGATGATTTGACTTATGATGTAGAGCCAGCAACCATTTTGGATCGTCAGGTTCGGAAGTTGAGGTCAAAGGATGTTGCTTCGGTGAAAGTGCAATGGAGAGGTCGGCCCGTGGAGGAGGCTACTTGGGAGATCGAGCGGGAGATGCGGAGCAGATATCCTCACCTGTTTGAGGTTTCAGGTATGTTTCTTGACCCGCTCGAGGACGAGCGTTTGTTTTAGTTGGGGAGGATGTGACAACCCGGCCCGTCGTCACGTGAGTTACCGCCCCGTTTTCCCCATTTTTTGCTTCCTTATGTTTCATTATAAGAGTCTTGGCTGAATGAGTCGAATTGGATTAATTTTAGAAGGAAATGAGACACTTAGTCTCTTTAAGGAAGGTTTGTTTTGGAAAAATCAACCGGATATTGACTTATGAGTTAGAGGGCTCGAATGTGACTTCCGGTGATTCGGTTAGCTTCGGGGGATGATTTGTGACTTAGGAGCGTGATCGGAAGTGATTTTGGAGGTCCGGTGTAGAATTAGGCTTGAATTGGCGAAGTTAGTATTTTGGCGAATTCCGGTTGATAGGTGAGATTTTTATCCGAGGGTCGGAATGGAATTCCGAGAGTTGCTGTAGCTTCGTTAGGTGATTTGGGATGTGTGCGCAAAATTTCAGGTCATTGGGAGGTGTTTTGGTCGGGTTTTTGATCGAATGCGTATTTCGGAAGTTTTAGAAGAACTTAGGCTTGAATCCGATGTAATTTGATGGTTTTGGTGTTGTTTTTGGTGTTTTGATGATTGGAGAAAGTTTGAATGGTGTTTTAGGATGGATTGACACTTTTGGTTGAGGTCCTAGGGGCCTCGGGGTGATTTCGGATGGCCATCGGGATGAATTTTGGACTTGATGCATTTCTGAAGTTTGCTGGTATCTGGTATTTCCGCATCTGCGGAAAGGGGGCCGCAGATGCGGTTCCGCAGATGCGAATAAGGGATCGCAGGTGCGGGTGTTGGCCATTTGGAGAAATTCCGCAGAAGCGGATGGTTTCCGCAGGTGCGGTCTCCAGAGATGCGGTTAATGACCGCAGAAGCGGTCCGTGCATGCAAGGGAGGTTCTGCAGAAGCGGAGGCTTGACCGCAGAAGCGGTGTCCGCAGAAGCGGAGATTGACCGCAGAAGCGGTCCTGGGCATAGTGAAGAACCGCAGAAGCGGAGGGAAAACCGCAGAAGCGGAAACCGCAAATGCGGTAATTGGATCGCAGAAACAAAAATAAGGTCTGGGCAGAAGGGTTTAAAAATTAATATTTCATCCGCGAGCTAAGTTATTTTTCAACCATTTTTGAGCAAACTTGAGAGCTTTTGGACGAAAATTGAAGGGGATTTCGACTGGGTGTGATCGGAGGTGAGTTCTATGGCCTAAATACATGTTTAATGGAAGAATTAACCTAGAAATTTATGGAAATTCATCAAAAAGGGAGAAAAGCTCGGGCTTGGTTTTTGGTATTTTAAAGTGGGTTTTGATGGGTCATTTGAACTCGGATTTGGGAGTTCTTGGTATGTATAGACTCGTGGCGAGATAGGGAATCCGATGATGTTAAATTTTTTGATTTTCGAGAAGTGGGCCCGGGGCTCGGGTTTTGCAAATTTCGTGATTTTCGATGTTTTTCGATTCTTTTCGATTGGGTTATGTTCCCTTAGCCTATTGTAACGTATTCGTTGTGGTTTTGATCAGATTCGACGCACGAGGAGGTCGATTCGCGAGGCAAGGACATAGCGAGCTAGGATTTTGGCCGGCTTGAGGTGAGTAATGATAGTAAATGATATCCTGAGGGTTTGAAACCCTGGATTTGCACAACGTAGTGCTATATTGAGGCGAGACACGCGCTTCATGACGAGCGCGGGGTTGTTTACTACTGGGGATTGTGACTTGGTCCGTCCCGTTGATATTTTACCGCGTATTTGACTAAGACATGTTTATTATCATCATGATTTGGGCCTATTGCCATATTTTGGGCTCCATGCCGACTACTTGATCCCTTGTGGATTTTTATCACTATTTCCCTCACTATTTTGATATAACTACTTGAACTCAGTCCTGTTGATTTACTGTTTTTACAAACTCAGCCGCTTTAATAGAATTTTGAGACTTAAATGATATTTCCACTGTTGTTTGGGCTGAGCACTACTATTTTATTGATACCCGAGGGGCTTATGTTGATTTCTGGACTGAGTGAGGCCGAGGGCCATATGTGAGGATATGTTGAGTGTGATGTGAGAAGGCTTTCAGGCCTTGAGTGTGGTGTGAGAAGGTTTTCAGGCCTTGAGTGTGATGTGAGAAGGCTTTCAGGCCTTATGTTGAAATAGCACTTGGGCCGTAAGGGGCCCCTCCGGAGTCTGCACACCCACAGTGAGCGCGGGTACCCATATGATCTGAGAGTGAGCCCGAGGGGCTGATATTATGTTGAGTGACTGATACTGAGCCCACGACGGCTGATACTGTACTGAACGATTGATGTTGAGCCCGAGGGGCAGTTTTACTATTCACTATTTATTTGTTGTTTTCCTGATTTAACTGTCTTTAAAGTTGAGATTTCATTTGACTCTTTACGGATTTTACTGTTTAAAGTGAGTTACTGCTTGATATAGAATTGCCTTGTGCTGTTATGTGTTTTCTTATCTTCGGTTATATTTATTGTCATTACTCACTGGGTCGGAGTACTCACATTACTCCCTGCACCATGCGTGCAGATTCAGGCATAGCAGAGTCCGCACCTGAGTACTGATATTCTTCCAGACAGGCAGCGAATTGGAGCTTCGAGGTAGCTGTTGACGTCCGCAGCCCTTGACTCCCTATTTTATGTTATTTCAGTTTCTTTCAGACTATTGTATCAGATATACTATTTCTTAGACTTATAACAACTCTGTAGTAGCTCATGACTTGTGACACCCCGGTTTGGGCTGTGTCGGGATGGTTCCCTTTGCTATTGTCGCTATTTTCGCCTTATAACTGTTTTATACGCGTTTTGGATTTATTAATGTTAAGTAATTGTTAAAAGAAGTGTTTCCGTTGTTCTGGGTGGCCTTGTCTTCACGAGAGGCGCCATCACGGCCGGGGTTTGGGATGCGGACCGTGACAGTTCGGTCCGTATCAAATAGATTTTAACAATTGACATGTCCCTAGATGTTGGATTGGGTAACCTTTTTTTGAATTCTAATTTAGCATTTGCAAATTAGCAATATTTTATGGTAACCAAACAAACAACAAAGTATTGAAAACAAGAAAGCGCTAGATTCTGCACTGAATTTCAATTGGCTACGTTTTCTGAATCATCAACGCAACTAATTGAAAAGCTAAGCTTATGACATCTAGATGCAGGTAGAGAGTATGAAGTGCTGCTGAAATTTTGCATTCTATTTATACCTTTCAACTATTTTGGACCTGATTTATACAATTAGCATGAAAAAATGGAAAAGGATGCTACTTGAGAGTTGGTATTGAATAATTATTTTCTGTTGAATCTTTTGCTTCATACATTCTTATGGACAATAAGTTCCTACCTTTAATATGTCATGTAACAGGTCTCATTATGTTTGCCGAAGCACAACAACAATGAAGCTGACAAATACATTCTTGGTTGACCTTCAAATCGGTGCATCGCATTTTGCTAATATATAAATTCTCTGTAAATAATAATCTTTAACTTGCTATATCTGCATTTTTGTTGGTGATCTGCTGCTGTAGGATTCTAAGGATATCTTATTAATTCAATATAATAAATTCAATTATGCCACAAGGACATGCTCATTTTTTTGACCGAGTTAGACAAGTAAACAGAGGCACGAGTGAATAGGAAATGAAAAGGAGTTAACACTTCTTTAGGTTTTGAGTGATAGGAAGCTTCAGATTTCAATGTCACACTTCACAAACATGTAGTGCAGAAAATCAACTCTTCTTTAAATCCACCCATCTGCATCTCAATCTCAATCTCAATCTATCTAGGTGTGTGCGTGTGTGATTACATGTGTTTCAAAGATAGCCACCTTTACCCATTTTATAAATCACGCCAACCAATGATAAGCAACTTGCCTGTTACATCACCCTACAATCTCTATCAGAAGCTGCTAAGATGCTTCATTTTCCTTTCATTAGTCTCAATGTACTAAACATAAAAAAAAAGACTTCAACTGAGTTAACTAAAATATTAAACTAATAAGAAAATACCTACCTAATAGGCATGCACCACGCAGAATATATTCGATGTGCTTTGTATATTGTGTTACATTAGTAATTAAAATAACTTCTCATTCATCACAAATAATATACATGTACCCTATCAAACAGTACCAAGGGAGTAGCTTATCAACTATTCTCCTAAGTAAGAAGAGACATCCTTTATGGGATTCTATAACTGTAAAATTCTTTGGCTACAGATTGTTGCATCTGCCACTCCGTCAAAGGCGAAAATGTATGCATCTTTATTTCTTCCTATAAGTGTAGAAGTTTAGTACTTAATAGATATTGTAAAATCGTCCTCCTAGTTTTTGAAATTTGCTGTGTGAAAATCAGACCTGAAGGATTTATTTGGTGACGGCAAGTGGGTTATTTCGAGTTGAAAATGACTGTAAGTTTCTTCTTGGTGCATAATTTTGTTTTGTTGGTTAGTACGTAACATGAGCATTCTGTTGCCAGCTATTTAGTAATTTACCTAACTATCTTTCTTCAGGTAGAGTCTGATGATTCTTGTGCAGATAACGAGCCACATTGGCTAGGATGAACACCTTTCTTGATGATGCGCTACGTTCTTCTTGTGAAGGAATCATGGTGAAATCCCTTGAATATAGATGCTGGGTAACACACATAAAGCGCACTAATGCATGGTTAAAGGTGTCGCCTCGAGAATGATATATTGCACTAGCAAAATTAGAGCTTTAATCCTAATCCTAATCCTGGAACTTGTCTGCAGGTCAAGAGGGACTACGTGGAAGGGCTAAGTGATTCCTTGGACTTGGTTCCGCTTGGTGCTTGGTATGGGAACGGATGTTTGAAGATGGAAAGGTAATAATGATCTACAGATCGATTGCTGCTTTTGTCTAATATTTTTAATTGATAAGAAGCAATGCATCGAAGCAAGTCAAAATGAATTAGTACTCAATGAAGGTCTACTTAGATAACAAGAGTCATAAGGGAAAGTGACTTTACATGATGGATACATTATCAAAAGTTGTATGATTGACTATGCGCTTAATGAAAATTTTTCTTCTTATTTTGCCTTTATTAGTTCTATTTTCAATTGCCCAACTTTACATGTTTCTATGTAAAATATGTATAATACGTTTTTAGAATGCGTGCGAAGAAAAATTCTTCCTTTTCTTCTCTTTTTCTTTTTGTTACATCGCAGGGTGCGAAAAGGAAGGAGAGGAAATTTGTTTGTATAGCAAAGGGTGGAGTTCTAAAATATTGTTTCGGCTCTATCTAATCTAGCTTACTGGTGGATGACTTTGCTAACGGTTCTGTTTATGATGCAGTTGTGCTCACTAAGTCTTAAAAATTGTTAATACCATTTCATGATTGTTTTATGTCTTGGTCTGTTATTTTTCAGTTGCAGTTGATCATACAAAATGTATAAAAGCTTTATTCCTGTTATTTACCATTCTGGCTATGGTGCTGGCAAGTTATAATATTGATCGTCAACAGATCTATCTGTCTATATGAACATTGCTCTTGAGCTTTGTTGGGGAAATCACTGTTGTTGAACATTGTTTGATGTTTTAGATTGATTTCTTTTGCAGATTACGACTCCCAAGGAGGCTGAGAGATTCCATCATTTGTTTGGATTTGGTGCAAGTGTTGCTCATATTTTTCTTGCACGGTGAAAGTTTTTGAAGCTTCTTTGTCTCCTTTGAAGTCATCGTGGTTCTTTATCAATATTTCTTTGATAAGATGAAATGGATTTGTTGTGAAGTTAATCTACAATGGATTGTCACCTATTTAACTCAACTTTTAAATTGCCTCTACTTGCCTCTTTTCTTATATATGCTGTTATACACACTTCTTATCTCCTAGCTTTCCACATAACTTATATTAACAGGGTCTATTTTGAGAGAATATTGAAGAGACTTTGAATTCCCCTTAAGATATTCACTTAAATTAGTATCATTAATTATGTTGACATGTAAAGTTCACACCACTTTGCTGTGATCAGGTCGAATAAATGTTAAAATACTGTCCAAGGTCATTTTCTTGTGCTTTCTTTCACAAGATACAATCTGAACCATGTAAATAGTATTGATTTCATTTCCATTTTTGGGTTGACGCCTGTGCATATATCTGGCATTTTCAACCCATATTTATTGTTTTCTTTCTTTCTGAATGACATGTCCTCCTAGACGCTGCTTGTGGGATTACACTAGTTTTTATTGTTGTTGAATGACATGTCCCTAGCTGTTGGATTGGGTAACCTTTTCTTTGAATTCTAATTTAGCGTTTGCAAATTAACAGAACTTTAGAGTATATTTTATGGTAACCAAACGAACAACAAGTATTAACACTTGCTATATTAACTTTTTATCCAACTGTACATACACCAAAATACAAAGGTAAAATATGGGAAAGATTCTGCGAATTACTTATTTATGAGACAAAATTAACAATTTAAGTCATCGATAAAAAATCAAAGGCAAAAAAATATACTTTGCAACAAAGTGTGCCTCTCGAGGATTTGCATCAATTAAACGACAAAGAGAACAAGCTGAAGAAGATTCATAATATGCACAATATTACCAATATCAGATAAGCTCCGCCGTCTGTCAATTCCCAGCTTCCACCTTTTGGCTCCTTGCGCTTATTGATCTCATCTTGCAGTTTTGTGAATTTACCGTTTGGATCGTTGTTTCTTGTGAGTTTTCTTCTCCTTCTTCGCTACCGTGTTTCTCTATTTAATTTTTCATGGCATGTTACGGCTTTATTGCACAGAGAGTTCAATTTTTCCAACGGCTTTGTCTTTACACTACAAAAATCAAAATTATTGTGGCGGTTATATTACGGCGATTCCGAATAACCGCCACAAAATATAATTAAAAATGACGTTTTTTTCAGCCGCCAAATTAAATTTTTTTTATAGCGGCGATTATTTCCTATTGTGCGGTTAAAACGCCCGTAATACTTTACCCAAATATTTTAACTATTCCATCGATAAGTTTTAGTGTTTCCGCCACTATTTTGAGACTCCCTCCAGAATTTCCCTTTCCCTCCATAGGTTTGGTTTACCTTTCTCCCAATTTCTATTTCCCACAATTTTCCCCAAATTCAATCTTATTGAAGGCTGTTGGAATGTACAACTCACAATCTCAAACAATTGCAGCTGAGGTAATCCGTTCCCCTCTGATAACGTCAACATTGCTAACACCAAGAAATTGAGGCATCTCGTTTTTTAGATTAATCGGGGCTGTCATGCTCAATACGGCGTGGAAACTTAGATTAATCTCTTTTTTTAGTTACCTCCTTTAGAAGAATTCGACCAGCATCCTTTAGAATCAATCTTCTCTTCGGATTGCATTTGGCCATGTTTTTGTGAAACTTGAAAGATATTCCTGAAACTTCATATTCTTCTATTTCTCCAATCTGTTTCTCCGGCTAGAAGAATCCATGAAATTCATTTAGCAGCTTCAATAATCTCAGTTAATGTAGCGATTAGGGTTCATGTTTAGTACCAAAACTTCTTTTTCTCTTTTGTTAGGGTTGATGCATGTAGCGATTCCCCCAGTTTTGTGCTAATTTTTTTTCCTCAGTCTGATAATCTATGATTCATTCAGTCAATCAAATATATAAACATCCAAAATAGTAATCTTTTACTAGAAAGACATTAATGTTCTAATGGTTTCAGTTTTTTTAAGGTCCATTTTTTTGTTATTTTTCTGTTCAATTAGTTTAGTACTTCTTTAAACGTTTGCTGCTTTGTTTGGTATCTTGATATGTAGCCGAGAGATCAAAATCTATTGGTGTAGCTATTGGGATCGACGTCGGCAATAGAACATTTGAGAGGTATCAGTTTAATTTTGTCCTTTTTTTTTGAGCAGATTTCTTTTTATTAAAGGTAGATTGATTATTTCTTTTGTCACTTGCAATTTAATACTTGAGATCTATCCCCTGATAGGAGAAAGCTTCCGAACAATATTATGGTGAAGATTTATGAACCCAATAAGCTATTATTTTATTTTAGATGTTACAGATAGGTTGCTTATTTTGCGTGGTACCAGTAGAATCAGTGACATCTAATATAGTCTCACTGATATTATTGAGGCCAGCTCTTTTTGGACTCACTAATTGAGGTTTTACAGGACTAATGGTAATGGATGCATTATGTTGCTCTGTTGTTCAGCAAAAGCTTTAGTTTCCTGGGAGGATAAGTTAGAATATGTTACAGAGAAACATTAAAGAGTGAAATTTAAAAATCTAACCCAAATTTAAATTCAGAAATCTAACCGAAATTTAAATTCAAAAAAATAGATATATCATAAACCTACTTATTATGCTAAAAAAGTTACTGCAGTAACTGAAAGCAACAAAATTTCAACAACTTACCATGGCTAGTGAGTTTAAGAGTGAGAGCGGGTTGAATCAGCTGACTACCAACATGATCAAAGACCTTCATTTCAAGACAACTTATAGTTTTGGATTAGTGATGGAATCACTTTTGGAAAACCTTCTGTTCTCATGGCTAACTACAAGATCTTGTAATTTGAAACTGATGTAAGTGCATCTATTTTATAAAGCTGGTGTTATGGAATAAGTGAGGGGGAGAGAACATTCAAGTCTGGAAGTGGAAGGTACCAGTATAAATAAGATTATTCCAAGCAAAGTCTTGGAAGCACACATCAGTCACAATTACACGTAATATAATACAGCTTAAGGTACCAGTCGCAAAATAAGCAACCTACATTACTTCCTAATTCTAAAACTGAAGTTAAAAAGGCGAAGTTGCTAAGCTTAGAACTTATATTGACCTATTAAGATATATTTTCTCACCTTCTTAGCTTGCTGAAGAATGGCTTTAGCTTGTCCACCTTTGTAGATAATGAACTTATCGCTGCACACTCTGTTATAGGTAGATAAAAGTAACAAGATTTTGTATATACACAATAAACCACATGTAATGTGACTTTGAAGCTCATGATTTGAGATAATATCAACTTATGTTATTATGTCTCTGTTAGCTTTTGAGTTATCCAGCTAACTCAAAAGTTATTATTGTGACTTTGAAGTCTATGACTTTGAACATTTGATTAATATTTCTTTTTATCAAAAGGTATATTCAAGGTTATGTTTGTCACATAGAAGCTTTGAACTATTTAGTTTTAATATTGTGATGTTATCTTTATGTCTTCCTTTCTAGCCATGCCAATTGATAAATCTTGGATTAGCAAACCACGAAACCACACCGGAATATGCAGATGGTCTAAGACAATTTTTGGATTTTGCTTTTGAGCACGGGTCAGTTGATGGCGCGTAATTAAGTGTCCGTGTCCAAATGTGGTTTTTAATAAATGGCAAAGAAGAGATGTAGTTGAAGAGCACCTGATTCTTAAACCTTTCCCAAAAACTAACAAATTTGGTATTGACATGGTGAAGAATCAAAAGCAACCGTGCAACAGACTTTCAGAGCACCCATATCATAGAAGATAATTTACAACCCAAGATCCAATGGAAATTATGATTAATGATGCATTTGGGTTCACCCGGAATAATGTCAACGAGCCTGGTGCATCTTCTAATCATATAAATATAGAAGAAATATTTGATGAAGGGCGCGTTGAGGGGCATAATGAAGATTATACAAAGTTTTATGAATTGGTCGAAGATGGAAATCAACCATTATACGAAGGGTGTACGAAGTATTCCAAATTGTCATTTCTAATCAAAATATATCATATAAAGTGTCTTTGTCGAATGACTGACAAGGCGATGAGTATGATATTAGAATTGTTAAAAGATGCCTTTGATGCCAAGATTCCTGGTTCTTTTTATGAGGCCAAGAAAACCATCAACAAACTTGGTCTTAATTATACCAAGATACATGCCTGTCCAAATGATTGTATGTTATATTTTGGCGAAGATGTAGGCTTGCAAGAATGCAAAAGATGCAAGTCATCTAGGTGGAAGGATAATAAGAAGAAGCAGCCTGCAAAGATATTGCGCTACTTTCCCCTAAAGCCAAGGTTGCAAAGATTGTTCATGTGCTCTAAAACTGCGAGTCTATGAGATGGCGTTCTTTAGAGGGTAGCCAAGATGGATTTGATGAGGCATCCATGATTCTCAGGCTTGGAAAACTTTTGACTTGCTTCATCCTGAATTTGCTGCAGATCCTCGAAATGTACGGCTAGGCCTAGCTAGTGACGGTTTTCAATCCTTTTGGAGCAATGCAACTAACTATAGTATCTGGCCAGTGGTACTTATTCCATACAACGTCCTCCTTGGGATGCATGAAACAAACTTCATTCGTCCTCTCAATGATCATTCCAGGGAAACAATTGCCGGGTAATGACATAGATGTGTATGTACAACCTCTCATCCAAGAGTTGAGGAATTGTGGTACGATGGAGTGCAGACATTAGATTCTTCAAAGAATGAAATATTTAAAATGCGAGGAGCATTGATGTGGACAATTAGTGATTTTCCTGGGCTTGGTACATTATCTGGATGGAATACATACACTCACTTTGCTTGCCCCACGTGTAACTTTGATACAGACTCTTGCAGATTGAAGCATAGTGAAAATGGTGTTTTATGGGTCATCGTCGCTTTCTTGAAAGAGGTCATCGGTTTATATTGCAACGTGTTCGTTTTAACGGGAAAATCGAGCAACGGGAGCCACCAATTGCATTATCGGGGTCAGACATCTTGAAGCAAGTGGAGGGCATTAATGTCAATTTTGGGAAAGCACCTGTTTTGAATGATAAAGGTAAAAGAGCTCGAAGACAAACCGTTAATGAAGATAGATCAAGACAGTGGAGAAAGAGAAGCATATTTTTTGATCTTCCTTACTGGGAAACGAACTTGTTACGTCATAATCTAGACCTTATGCACATTGAAAAGATGTGTGTGAGAATGTGAATATACACTTTACTCAATGATTCTGAAAAATCAAAAGACAATATTTAAAGCTAGGAAGGATCTTAGAGAAATGGGTATAAGGAAGGACTTTGGGCAGATGAGAACGGAAGCTATCGTCCATCTTTGTTTACTATTTTAAATACAAAGAAAGGTTGGATTCAAGAAAGATATATTTTTGCGGACCTTAAAGAATGTCAAAATGCCTGATGGATATGCGAGCAACATTTCGAGATGTATCGACTTGAAACAACGGAAGCTCTTTAATATGAAGAGTCATGATTTTCACATTCTCATGCTGCACTTATTACCAAATTGCCATACGGAATATTTACCCGACAAAGTGACTGCAGTGCTAATAGAGTTGAGTTCGTTCTTCCGACAACTCTGTGCCAAAAGCTTAAGTCCAATAGACCTTGATAGGCTTCAATCTCGACATTTTCTCACTATGAATCACTTGGAAATGCTATTCCCTCCAACATTCTTTACCATCATGGTTCATTTAACTTGTCATCTAGCTAGTGAAATAAAAACTTGGGGGACCGAAACAGTGTCGATGGATGTATCCTGTGGAGAGGTAAGAGATTTCTCATTGCTTTATTGTAGTTTATTCTTTAAGACAAAGATGTTAATTGTAACCATTAACTAACCATTGATCTTTTGTGTA